CCGGCTCGGGTGAGGGTGTCGTGTGCAGGGCCTGGCACTCGGCTGCCTCTGAGAAAGCCGTGGGGGAGCCTGGCACCAAGTGTCTGCAGACGCTGGGGTGGAAACAAGCCTCAGGAAAGGGCCGCAGAGCCAGCAAGGAACACGGCCCTCCCAGGCCAGAGGCTGCTCCACCTGCCCATCTGCAGGCCTCAGGATGGGCCCAGAAGGAAAGGCCTTGGCCACAGGGCTCTGGCCCCTCAGGCAAGGGGTTCTGGGACTGGAGAGACGCTGGGGGTCGGGGGAAGCTGGGGTCACAGAGCCCCTGGACCTGACTCACTTCTTAGTGATCCCTATGCAGCTGTCAGTGCTCTTCTGACCCCAAAATTGTGGAAAGAGAAACCTGTGTGACAGGGTGCAGGCATGCCTGTGTCTGTGTGTGTCTGCGCATGCACATGTGTCTGGGTGTGTCTGTGTCTGTGCATGCACGTGTCTGTGTGTGTCTGTGCATGTACCTGTCTGTGTGTGTCTGTGCATGCATGTCTGGGTGTGTCTGTGTGTGCATGTGGCTGGATATCCATGTGTCTACCTGTGTGTACATGGTACATATTGTGCACGTATGTGCATGACTGCCACTTTGTGTGCCTGTGTGTATATATATGTATCTATGTGAATATGTGCGTGTGTGTACGTCTGTTCGTGTATGTGCCTGTACATGTGTGCATGCCTGTCAGTGTGTGTGCCTTTGTATGTGTATCTATGTGAATATGTGTATGTGTGGGTGCATGTCTGTTAGTGTCTGCCTGTGCATGTGTGCATGTCTGTCAGTGTGTATGCCTGTGTACGTGTATCTATGTGAATGTGTCTGTGTGTACATGTCTGTTAGTATGTGTGTGCCTGTGCATGTGTGTGCATGTGTATCTGTGTCTATGGGAATGTATGTACATGTGTGCATGTGTCTGAGTGTGCCTGTGCACACCTGTATCCACGTGTCAGAACCTATCTGTGCAGGTGTGTGTGTGTGCTATGCACATGTGTCTGAGTGTGCCTGTGCACACCTGTATCCATGTGTCAGTACCTATCTGTGCAGGTGTCTGTGTGTGCATGTGCGCATGTGTCTGTGTGCATGTCTGTGTGAGTGTGCCTGTGCACACCTGTATCCACGTGTCAGTACCTATCTGTGCAGGTGTCTGTGTACATGTGTCTGTATGTGGGAGTGTACTGAAGCCTCTGTCAAGGCAGGACAGGGGAGGTCTCAGCCTGGCCATGATCTTCCCCATCGGGCACCCCCACATTGCACAGCCCTCCCCTCCTACTGGGACCTTATCACCCCAACATCTGGGCCTGCATCCCAGCCAAGTGGCTGTCCTCAAGTAGGGACTCAGAGGGGTTTTCATTTCCATACAGGGTACCCCTTCCCCAGCTCTTCCTGAGGAATCCACAGGTCGGGGAAAATGTGCGCGGAGGGCACACGCAGTTTAGGACCAGCCAGCAAGTTTCAAAATGGATGCACCGACATCCCATGCAGAGAATTCCTCACCACCGGCAGTGGGAGAAGAGAGAGACTGGGACAGAGAGAGAAACACAGAAGGAGACAGAGAAAGAGATGGGGGGGAGGGAAACCTGGCCTTGGAGCACAGGCGTGGCCACATGTGGTGCGGGAGCAGGTGTACAGCTAACCCAGGCCGACCCTCAGGGAAGGCGCCAGCCCTTGGGGGATATCGCCAGCCCTTGGGGGATATCGCACTTTGTATTTCAAATGAAGCCAGGTGATGGGATCGAGAACCACAGCCTGGATGATTTTCCTGCACACAAGCCAGGGATCAAAGTGCACAAACAGGCTCCCAGGCAGGCTCTGGAGGACCTGGACGGGAGGGCTGTGCTGGGCTGGGGTAACTCTCTAGTCTCTGATCCTTTCTGGAATCATGGGTGATTATGGAGATCTTAGCAGGTGCTGGAACCCGATGGCCTTAAAGGATTTCACAAAAAGGCAATGGGCCTGGGAAGCTTTGGCAGAGACATGGTGGGGAGTCACCCTTGTCCTCTCTGAATTAGAAACTCAGAGACTCCAGGCTAGGAACCCAGCAGGGATAGGCAAGGCCAGGGAGAAAGAATAACAATATGTAAAGCAAAACAAGATAAGGAGAAGGACTGGGCGGTGGAGAGCAGGGAGGCCTGTGGGGGCAGCCCAGCCTGAAGGAATGTGGAAGGAGGAGCACAGCTTCAGCAGGGAGGGTTGGGGAGGCAAGAGGGGCATCCCTTCCATCAGAGCAGGGCTTTAAACCACAGGTATGTGGTGAGGGCCACAGCCTGAGAGGGGTGCTGTGCTTGGTACCTGCCTGCTGAAAGCCCGGGGTCTGTAGAGTGGGCACTTCCCTCACAACCAGGAAGAAGCCCCAGCGGGGGGGTCAGTGGGACACACTGCAGGCAGGTGAGCACACAGGCGTGCATGCAAGTGCACACACAGGTGAGCCCAGAGTCTAGGAGGGGTGCTGTGCTTAGTATCCGCCAGCTGGAAGCTGGGGATCTGCAGAGCAGATGCTCCCCTCACAACCAGAAAGAAGCCCCAGTGTGGGTCAGTGGGATGTGCTGCAGGCAGGTGAGCACACAGGTGAGCTTGGAGCCTGGGGAGCTGGCTCCAACTGTCCCTTCCCTCCCTCATAGGAGGCTGCCCCAGGAGAAGGGTCCAGGGCTGGGTAGGTGTGTGTTAACTAACGGGGGCTAGGCACTTCCACATCCTAAAGTGGCAGGGGGCTGGGGCCAAGTTAGCTCAGTCCCTGAAGGTGGGCCCGGGCCTAGCTCGGACCACCTTCCCTACAACCACCTGTGGAGGACCACGAATCAGGACCCTGGGCCTGGGGAGGCCAGGGACCCCAGGACGCTCTGACAGTCACATGGCCAAGTCCTGGTCACCTCTTCAGCTCAGGCCACAGCCCTTGACCTCAATCAGCCTCACTGCACAAAATGTAAAATTCGTGACATTGCAAAGACAAGGCGAGCTCAGACTAGCATTCCTTGGGGAGGCCCTGGCTGTTGACAGGGGAAGCTCATGGATGACTTTCACGCCTTAGCAGGGAGATGTGCTTGGACGGTCCCCTGGGGCCTGGGGTCTCCCAGGGTGTGGCAGAGGATGCAATAGAGACTAGGATCCCGGGAGGGGTGGGCCTGCTGTGCTGGAGCCAGCTGGGACTTAGCCAGCTGCGGGACCCTGCCCCAGCCATGCTCTCGCCAGCATCCACCTGCCTGCAGTCACTGGAAACAGACAAGACAGCAAGCCAACAGCCAGATCCAGAAACCGGAGGGAACGCTGCCCACAGAGTCAAGGGCTTGGCCAGCACTGACCTCCAGGGAGGCTGGCAGAGGGAAAGCTGGTGGTTAGCACTTGGGGTGGGGGCAGGGAAGGAGGGCAGAACTCCGGGAACCGAGATGATGCCATGAAAAGGAGCCGGCAGAGGCCGCTGGGGCCAGGCTGTGAGAAGACAGGAGGGGAGGCCGCCCCAACATCAAAGCCACTCAGCCACACGCAGGAGGGTGAGAGGAACGAACACATCCCAGCACAGAAACCATCTGACCCAGTCCTGAGTGGTTTTCATTTTGTTGTCTTCATTTCACACCTTTGTAAATAAAGTTATTAAATTAAAATCCGAAAACCAGGTCGGGGACAGACTATAGGTAGAACAGCACAGTACGCCCAGCCAGCGTTCGGTCCCATGGACACTGGCCCTGCGTTGCTGGAGGACAGCGAGGGGGGCTGCATGGCGCGGGGACCCTGGGGTGGGGGTGACCCTGCTGGTCTCAACTCCCATCACCAGCACGCCGCATGCCACAGTCCTTGCGCACACAGAATGTTCTGGGTGAGGATGCAGATGAAGGGCACTGCACCAGCCGCAGGACCCACCCCACAGCCAGGCGGTGACTCCGGGCGACAAAAGTACACAGGCCCACGGCTGGGACAGGAGACCCTCGGCCAGTGGCACAGGACAGGATTCATCATTAAAGAAACCGGAAAACAGGCCGGAGAGCGACCAGCCAGGCTGCGCTGAAGGAGGGCAGGGGCCCGTGGGGCAGGGGATGCGGAGGGCAGCAGGGGAACAGTGCCAGGAGCGTCATCTCTGCAGAATTAGCTATGCCCACAGGTGCACAGTGGCTGGCACACAGCCTCAGAGCTTTTCAGAAAAGCAGATCTAAGAGGGATCAAGTCGACCACTAGACATGCAAGTGGAAACAGGCCTCCACGGGTCTCCAGAACCACGCTGTTAGCTCAGGGGACATTTATTCCACCCAGGAGCAGTTTTTAAAAGGACCATTCTAGCAGAACGGAAAACTTCGCCGTGAAATCACCCTGACTTCAGGGCGGGAGGGACGTCAGTGGGAATCCACACCTTCTCGGACTTTCCAAAGTCAGCAGCTCCCCGAGCCCGCAGGACCGAGCGGCCAGGCCGTCCTCACAGCGGCTCCTGCGGGAGGCCCCGGGCGCCCCGCCTCCCCCAAGGACCTTCCGAACCGAGGGGGGCCAGGCCGGCACCGCGGGCTCCTGAACGCACCCGCCGCTTCCCTGGGAGCACCTGGCAGCGAGGGGCCGCCCTCCCTCCCCTCCCGCGTGCGGCCCCGCTCGATTCCTGGAATCATATTTTTGGACCTGCAGCTGCAACACTTCCCGCCCTCGGCCCTTTCGATTCCTCTTTCGGGAGGGGTCGCTCTGCTCCCCTCTCCGGGAGGACCGAGGCCCCTCACCTCCCGCGCGGCCGAGGCGGGGCGTCTGCATTTTAACCATTGTGTTTCCTTCGCACTCGGAAAGCGGACTCCCGGCTTCCCCGCGGGGAGGCGTCTGATCGCGAGCGTTTCCTGGACAGCCCCGCAGCGTCCCCCGGCCCTGCCTCCTCCCGACCCGCGCGGGGCTCCTGGAACCCCGAGGCCAGGCCTCGCCCGGGGAGGCTGGGGGGCGGCGGCGCGGCCCCCGAGGGGAGTGGGAGGCGCGCGGGGGGCCGGGTCCGCCGCATCCCGCCCGCCCGCCCGCCGCTCACCGTCTCGGGGTCGTTCTCGAACACCTCCCGCGCCTCCTCGCGGCTGCACAGCTCCTCCACGCACTCGCGCTCCAGGTGGCCCTGCTTGGCCTCCTCGAAGACCTGGTAGGCGCGGCGCTGCCTGGGCCGCAGGAACTGCGTGGCCTCGCGCGCCGGCAACAGCGCCGCTGCCGGGGGGAGAGACGGGGCCGCGTCAAGCCGCGCCCGGAGCCGCCTCCGCTCCCGGGGACGGGGCCTCGGGCCGCGGGACTCACCGAGCGCGCACTCCGCGGCCAGCAGCAGCAGCAGCAGCGCGGCGCGCAGGACGGAGGGCCCGGGCGGGGGCGAGGGGGCCATGGCGGGCCGGGGACGCGCGGTCAGAGCGCCCGGGAGGCCGAGGCGAGGCGCGGGCGCCGCGGGGCGGAGGCTCCGGTCATCCCGTCCTGGCGGCCCTGAAGGTCACATCGCGGCGGCGTTGGCGGCGGCGGCACCTCGGGCGCTCGGTCTGGGCGGGCTCGGGCGGCGGCGCGCGGGGAGGCGGCGGGGGCGGGCCCAGCGCGCGGGCGGGGCGCGGGCTCCCGGGAGGCTCCCGGCAGAGCGGGGCGTCCGGGGCGCGGGGCTCGCGGGGCGCGGCAGAGGAGCGTCTGCCGGGCGATGGGCGTCTCCACTAGCGGGGGCGCAGGAGGCGGCGACTCGGCTGCACTCGAGCAGGTACCTTTTGACCGCACTCCCGGTGTCGTTGGAGATTCTCGCCTCCCCAGCCAGCGCTCCCCCCGAATCTACTGCAGCCTCTTCGGAGCCGTCATTCTCAGGCACGGTTGTTCAAGACTGAAAACCTCCCAAAGAAAAGCTACACGGAGGTCAGATCCCATCCCACGGGGCGGGCGACTGAAATGCGATGGTTTCCTTTTGTAATCTCTGTTTTTCATAATGATGACATTCACAATCTTGAGGTTTCCCAGGAGATATTTAAGCTGAAAGCAGCATTGTGCTTGTCTTCAGAGACCAAGACTTTCTGGCTCTTGTCTTGGAATATTTCGCAAAGTCATAGGAGAACACGGGCAAACGCACAGAACCCGAGCACAGAGGGCCGCTCACGGGGGACCGGGGCAGGCGGTTAGCCTGGCGTGCCCCGGGGCCGGGAGGAGGGAACTTGAGTGCTCCCCTCTGGAGGATCCTGCTCTGGAAGTCCCCACCCCGCAAAATGCGCTGGAGAGGGACAGTGAGTCAGCACCCCACCCCAGATAGATGGCCATTTTGCTCAGCACGCCCAACGCTGAGATTCTCAGATCGCAGCTTCTCTTTGTTTTCTGTAACTGGGAGAATGGAATGCGATTGCTGGTAGACATCTTTGAGGTCATTAGTTTAAATTAATGATATGTTAATTTAGGCAGATGAATGTCCATGGGAATCATCTTCAAAAAGAATTTGAAATGGGATAAAGAAGTCATCTGCACCTGCGTCTGAACCAGAACTACCAGGCACGCCCATGTCAGCTGGTTACTGTAGCGGGTGGAGTGAGGAGTGCACCTGGGCTTCTGCCTTGCAACCACCGTGGCTACTTCAAAAGAATATTACTGCATTAACTTCCCTGCTTGTTCTTGAGGAGAAGCACTGGTTTCAAAAATCGGATGCGGTGATACATGCTTTAGTCAGTATTTACAAGGCTCCTTAATCACTTCACTGGACAAATAATTCATTGAACACCTACCGAGTACCACGCAGTGTTCAAGCCACTTCCAGAGATAATTCCTAAGGGTTACAGCTGCCCGTGGATAAACTTCAAAGTGTGTAAGCTCCTAAAAATTGTTCGCAATTATTTTCTGCACATTTTTGTCATTTTGGGGAAGAGAGTTTATGGAGTTCATGCAATTCTCAGAATTATTTGATCCGTTTAAGAATGAGCTTCTCCAGCCTCTGCCTGCTCCTCTGGGACAATCTGCACCTGGGCGTGGGCACACTGCTCTGGGTCATTAGGTATCAGGAAGACCTCAGTTGGACGGAGCAGTTCACCTGGCCTCCTTTTAGCGTGGACCCCGTGCTCATTCTTCATATTCTTGATTCAGCCTTTCCACTGAGTTACTGTCTCAGTAATGACAGTGCCTCCCATCATGCAGAGACTTGGTTTGATAAAATGCATCCACATACAACGGTTCATTTTGATTTCTGTTACTGGGGTGTACAGAAGGCAAACATGGTCTACAATGCAGGGTGTCACCATGACCCTAGATAACTCCAAAATCCTTAACCTAGTTATCAGTGCAGGAAATTCACTCTAAGGTAGACATGGAAAACGAATAAGAAACAATTTGGATGTGTTTCAAAAATGGCGAGGGTTATCAGGCATTATGTTATACAACCTGAACTAGCTATGATGAAGTACATGGTTCACCTCCACAGCGGCAGGAGCTTGGACCCAGGGCAGTGGATGTTTCACACGGATGGTTAACCCGTCTGTGGCCATGAGGTGGAAAGCTGGTGGCTCCTCTTTTCAGGGGTGAGCTAGGACGAAGGGTGGAAGTGGGGCGGGAGTAGGGTGTCTGTAGAGAACTGAAAGTTCTGCATTGCATCCTCTGTCATTGTTGCCAGTGATAATTCCATGGCAATAGGACCATCCCTTCGTCTATACAGACAATGAATGTGAGTTTAGTACCTGATACTTTGTCTTAAAAGATGCTATGTTAGGTACAGTCGATTGTATAGTCATATTTGGTTTTTCTTTGGTTGTGTTTCAGACAGTTTTATTGAGGTGAAGTGGAAATACAGGAAACTACACGCAGATTTTGGCGTATCTGTGACGTGTACACCTGTGAAGCCACCACAATCAAGTTAGGGACTATATCCATCACCCGAAAAAGTGTTCTCGTGCCCTTTGGTAACTCCTCCTCCTAAATGTCCCCACTCTACCACACATCCCAGTCCCTAGGCAAAACCACTGACCAGATTTATATCACTGTAGATTATTTGCTTTTTCTAGACTTTCATATAAAAAAGAATCATACTGTATGTATACTTTTCTGTGTTTTTTTCACTTAATGTTTATTTTCAGGATCGTCTATCTTGCTGCAGGTGTCCATAATGTATTCCCTTTGATTGCTCAGTAGTATTCCACGGTATGGGTATAACACAATTTGTTTATCATTCACCTGTTGAGGGACATTTTACTTGTTTCTAAATTTTTACTCTTATAAATAAAGCTGCTGTGGACATTTGGGTGTGCATTCATTGTGTGGACATTGTGTGCACACATGCTTCCATTTCTGGGGGAAATATCTAGGAGCAGAGTGTCCGGATCACATGGCAGGTGTTTAACTTTTTAACCGTTTTTCACAGTGGTTGTGCATTTTACATTTTCACCATCAGTGCATGAGGGTTTCATTTTCTCCACATCCCCACCCATGCTTTCTGTGGTCACTTTAAAAATGTTTAGTCACTCTCGTATGCATATAGTGGTATTTCACTGTAGTTTAAGTTTGCATTTTTCACAACACTAGTGATGTTGAACATATTTTATTGTGCTCATTGCCATCCTGGTATCTCCTCTGGTGAAGTGTCTGTTTTGATCTGATTTTCTTTGTTTTCATTTACTTGGTGACATGGTCTGGCTGTGCCCCATGCAGATCTCATCATGAATTCCCGCATGTTATGCGGGGGACCAGTGGGCAGCAATTGAATCATGGGGCAAGTCTTTCCTGTGCTGTTCTCATGAGAGTCAATCCGTCGCACAAGATCTGACAGTTTTAAAAAGAGGACTTCCCCTGCAGAGCTCTTTGCCCTCTGCCATCCGTGTACGACAGGAGTTGCCTTTGTGAGGCCTCCCCAGCCGCGCGGAACTGTAAGTCCACCTCTTTCTTTTGTGAATTGCCCAGTCTCAAGTGTGTCTTTATCAGCAGCATGAGAACGGCCTAATATACATGGGATGTTTGGTTTTCCAATTGTTGAGCTGTTTGTTGAGTTCTAAGAGTTCTATAACTATTTTAGAAGCAAGTCCATTATCGGATGTGTGGTTTGCAAATATTTATTTCTAGCCTGTGGCTTGTCGTTTCATTCTATTAAATGTGTCTTTAGCCAGGCATGGTAGTGGGTGCCTGTAGTTTCAGCTACTTGAGAAGCTGAGGCAGGAGGATCTCTTTAAGCCTGGCCTGGGCAAAAAGTGAGACCCTGTCTCCAAGAAAAAAAGAAATAAAAGTGTCTTTCAATGATCAGAATTCTTAATTTTGAAGTGCAACTTATCTTTTGTTGAATGGATTCTGCTTTTGGTGTCACATTTGCCTGACCCATAGTCAAAAAGATTTTAATACAGAAGTTCTGTAGATTTGGGTTTACCGTTATGACAGTGGTCCATTTTGAATGAGTTTTTGTAAATGTTGAGGAATGAATCAGAATGTGCGTATGTATGTATGTGCCCAGGAAAATGCAGTCATCCCAGCACTGTTTATTTTTTTTTAATTTTTTTGAGACGGAGTTTCACTCTTGTTACCCAGGCTGGAGTGCAATGGTGCGATCTCGGCTCACCGCAACCTCCGCCTACTGGGTTCAGGCAATTCTCCTGCCTCAGCCTCCTGAGTAGCTGGGATTACAGGCACGTGCCACCATCCCCAGCTAATTTTTTGTATTTTTAATAGAGACGGGGTTTCACCATGTTGACCAGGATGGTCTTGATCTCTTGACCTCGTGATCCACCCACCTTGGCCTCCCAAAGTGCTGGGATTACAGGCTTGAGCCACCGCGCCCGGCCTGTTTATTACAAAGACTATTCTTTCTCCACGGACTTGCCTTTGCAACCAATTGATAATGTATGTGTGAATCTATTTATAGACTCTGTTCTGTCCCATTTATTTGTCTCTCTTATAAGTTCATACCAGTGTCTTTGATTACAGTAGATTCATAACAAGAATGGAAGTCAGGCCGTGGAAGTAGGTAGTGTAAATTCTGAAACATTCCTCTTGCTCAAAGTGTGAAGTTGTTTGGTTATTCTGTTTTCTTTGCATCTACATATGAACATTAGAATCAGCTGCTCATTCTCTACAAAAAGCCTGCTAAATTTTAATTGAGATTGCGTTAAATCTATAGGTCAGTTTTTAGAGAATGAACAGTTTAACAGTATTGAGACCTGATCTGTGAATGTGGCATATCTTTCATTAAATCTTCTTAAATTCTCTCCACAGCGTTTCATAGTATTCGATGTGCAGGCCTGATATGTATGTTATCAGATTTGTTCCTAAATATTTCACTTTCTCTGTCCTATCGTAAATGGCATTATTTATTCTTTTTTTTTTTTTTTGAGACAAGATCGCGCTCTGTCACTGAGGCTGGAGTGCAGTGAGACAGTCTCAGCCCACTGCAGTCTCTGCCTCCCAGGGTCAAGTGATCCTGCCACGTAGCTGGGACTACAGGCATGTGCCACCACGCCTGGGTAATTTTTTTGTATATTTTATAGAGGTGGGCCTTTGCCATGTTGTTCAGGCTGGTCTTGAACTCCTGGCCTCAAGCAACCCGCCCCCCTCAGCTTCGCAAACTTCAGGGATTACAAGCGTGAGCCACTACATCTGGGTTGTGGCATTGTTTTTCATTTCAGTCTCCAATTTAAAACATTTGACTTTTGTATATTTATCTTGTATCATGCAACTTTGCTTAATTCAATTATTCTGATTTTTTTGTAGATTCAGTAGAATTTCTTCTTATATAGATAATCATACTATCTATAAATATAGACACTTTCACTTCCTCCTTTCAAATCTGGGTGCTGTTTAATTCTTTTTTTTGTCTGATTGCACTACCCAATGACCTCTCAAGCAATGTTGACTAGAAATGGAGAGTGTGTATCCTTGTGTTGTTCCTGATCCCATGTGAAAATAATCCAGTCTTTCACCGTTAAATATAATAATGTTAGCTGTAGGCTTTTCATGATGTTCTCTATCAAGTTGAAGAAGTTCTCTTCTCTTTCTAGCTTCCTGTAAATTATGTTTTAAAAATTAAGAATGTGTGTTAAATATTAGTTTTCTTCTATATCTGTTCTATTGAGATGATCATATGGTTTTTCTTTTCTCATTCATTGATCTGTAAATTACCTTGATTGATTTTTGAATGCTAAATCAACCTTTTTGCCTGAAATAGCCCTAACCGCATTTGGTCATGATATATCATACTTTTAAATTATTGTTGAATTCAGTTTGTAAAATTGTGTTAAGAATGTTTGCATCGATGCTTACGAGGGTACTAATCTGTTGTTTTTTTTTCTTTGTCTGGTTTGATATCCAAGAAATGTTGGCCTAAGAATTGTTAAGTGTTTCCTCCTCTTTAATTTTATGGAAGTGTTTGTGTAGAATTGGTCTTATTTCTTCCTTAGATGATTGGCAAAAATCACAGTGATGCCATTAGGACCTATAGTTTTCTTTGCGGGAAGGTTTTTACCTATACATTTTATTTCCTTAATATATATTCTTTAAGGTTGGCATGGTGGCTCGTGCCTGTAATCCTACCACTTTGGGAGGCCGAGGCCGGAGGATCACTTGAGGTCAGGAGTTCGAAACCAGCCTGGCCAACATGGTGAAAGCCCGTCTCTACTAAAAATACAAAAAAAATAGCCAGGCATGGTGGCAGGCACCTGTAATCCCAGCTGCCTGGGAGGCTGAGGCAGGAGAATTGCTTGAACCTAGGAGATGGAGGTAGCAGTGAACCAAGATTGCACCACTGCACTCCAGTCTGGGTGACAGAGTCAGTGAGACACAGACACACGCACACACACACACACACACACACACACTCTCTCTCTCTCTCTCTGTCTCTCTCTCTCTCTCTCTCTCTCTCTATATATATATATGTATATATGTGCGTGCATGTATCCGTAAAGAATATATATATGTACTCTTTAATAGCGCATCTGTTTCTTCTTTATTTGCTTTAGTAATTTTTTTTTCAGGAAGTTTTCTCATTTTATCTAAGTTGTTTACTGTGTTAACATAAAGCTGCTCATAATAGTCTCTCCACACTATTTTTGATGGATGTTGTTGTTGAGACAGAGTCTCGCTCTGTGGCCCAGGCTGGCGTGCAGTGGCATGATCTCGGCTCACTGCGATCTCCGCTCCCGGCTTCAAGGGATTCTCCCGCCTCAGCTTCCTGAGTAGCTGGGACTGCAGGTGTGCGCCACCATGGCTGGCTAATTTTTGTGTTTTTAGTAGAGATGAGGTTTCACCATGTTAGCCAGGCTGGTCTCGAATTCCTGACCTAAGGTGATTCACCTGCCTTAGCCTCCCAAAGTGCTGAGATTACAGGCGTGAGCCACTGCAGCTGACCCCTCAGCACTCTTTGAATCTCTGTAGACCTGTGTTAATGACACCTCTCCTGACAGTGATAATTTGTCTTTTTGTTTTTTTCTGTCATGGTCATTCTGGCTGGAGATTCAACAAGTTTATTGATCTCAAATAACTGGTTTTTGGGTTTATTGATTTTTCTCTATAATTTATCATTTTCTATTTTCTCATTATACAATCAACTTTTATAATGTTCTTTCTTCTGCTCACAGAAGAAAAATGAAATAAAGTGTGTTTTATTTGCTCTTCTTTATTCAGTTTCTTCAATAGAAAGCGGGGGTTTTATTTGAGATCTTACTTCTTTTCTAATATAGATGTTTATGCTAGAGATTTTTCCTAAAGCAGTGCATTAGCTGTATCCTACACATTGTAAATCTCACACTTAAGTGCGTCATTTCCATTCAGTTCAAAATACTTTCTAATTTAACTTTTGATGTCTTCATTGACCCATGGGCTATTTAGAACTGTGTTATTTAGTTTCCAACAATTTGGGAAGTTTTAGATATCTTAGTGGTTATCAATGTGTAATTTGGCTTTATTGTGGAAAGAGAACATACAGTAAGTGACTTGAATTCTTTTTAATTTATTGAAACTTGTTTTGTGGCCAGAAGATGGTACATCTTGGTAAACATTATGTGTGTTCTAAAAAAGAATGTTGGCTGGGTGCAATGTCTCACACCTGGAATCTCAGCACTTTGGGAGGCTGAGGCAGGCAGATCACCTGAGGTCGGGAGTTTGAGACCAGCCTGACCAAAATAGAGAAACCCATCTCTACTAAAAATACAAAACTAGCCAGGTGTGGTGGTGCATGCCTGTAATTCCAGCTATTCGGGAGGCTGTGGTAGGAGAATCGCTTGAACCCGGGAGGCAGAGTTTTCAGTGAGCTGAGATTGTGCTATTGCACTCCAGCCTGGGCAACAAGAGTGAAATTCCATCCAAAAAAAAAAAAAAAGGTTTATTCAGCTCTTAGTGGGTGGAATGCTCTATAAATGTCAACCAGGTCAAGTTAGATGACAGTCTTGTTCAAGTCACCATATCCTTGCTCATTTTCTGCCTTCTTATTCTATCACTTTTTAATAATGGAGTGCTGAAATCTCCAGCTGGAATTTGGCTTTGTCTGTTTCTCCCTACAATTCAAGTTTTGCTTCATGTATTTTGGAACTTTTTTATTTGGTGCATAAATATTTAAAATTGTGTACTCCTGAGTAATTAATCTTTTATCATAATAAGATATAATATTCTTTGCTCTAAATCTATCTGATTGCCAGCTCTCTTTTGGTTAGTGTTTGCATTATATTTATACATTATATATTATTTTTAAAATCCTTTTTCCTTTATCCTGTTTTTTTCTTCATGTTTAAGATGGCTTTCTTGTAGGTAGCATGTAGCTGAGTCTTCCTTTTCTTAATCCAACCTGATATGTGTCTTTTAATTGGGGTAGCAGATCATTTTCATTCAATATGATCATTAAAATGATTTGGTCTAAACCTCCCACCTTGTTACTTGTTTTCTGTTACTCTCATATGTTGTTTCCTTTTCTTTTGTTTTATTTTTTGCCTTCTTGTGGATTAACCAAAGTTTTTATGATGCAGTTTTTCCCCTTATTGGCTTATTAACTGTAACTGTTGTCTGATTTTGGTGTTGCATTGTGATTTTTGTTACACAGCTTTAACTTACTAGGGTCTCCTGTCACTTGCAACCATCTGCCTCTGTTTCTCTCCTCTATTTATGTTGTTTTCCTGCATTTTACTTCTACATGTGTTATAAACCTTACAATACAGAGTACTATTTTTTGCATTAAACAATGCTTTTAAAAATATTTAAATAATGAGAGAGAGTTACGTTTG